TCCTAGATGCCCAAAGATCAATGAAAGCGGCGCACCCCATATTCATCGATCGATACGCACATAGTAGCCATTGTAATCAACCGAGAAATCAACGCCCGAATCACCCAGGACTTCGTGGAGCTGAAATTTATCCAAGGTGAAACTGTTCGTATATTGGGCCTTGAACGTATACGCTGAGTTCCCATTGTTATTGAACATTTGCATGTCCTGTTCGAAGTTGATATTGTCTAAAAGTCATTCAACAAGACGGTGGTGTGTTGTTTGCAATGAGACACTCACATCTAACCTGGCTGTCAATCTGCGAATCCAGGCCGCGTGGTTGGTATGCATCCATCCGAAGCGAAGAGCCAGAGTGGTGGCCTGTCTGGTTGGAGTCGATGAAGTAATATGAACAATACCCGCTTGTCGGTCCAAGAAATCGCGGAGCGCTGTCCGAGGCTCTTAGCATGGTGCCTCGATCTATAGCAATGGTATAGACGATACCACCCGCTGAAGTGAACTCGGCGGAGCTTTTACCCCTGCAGTCGGCACCCGTCGCATACGAGTACAGATCTGTGTACCAGTTCAAGTTGTACTTTTGAATAAGGGATGGATCACTGGTGGTGACATTGTATGTGCCGTTTGCGCTCCAAGCAAGCCAAGTGATTGTGACGCTGACGTTATAAACCAAAGTACCCCTGGGGATTGTTGCAGTTGCAGTGAGTGAAGGTCTAGCAAGGAGGAATAGCCCTACCTCTTGAATCCAATTACGCCAGCCGGCGGGTCTAGATTGGACACATAGCTTTTGGTACTCCGTGTCGCAGACACGGCGCTATCAATAGACATCGCGGCTTGTTCAACAGCGTTAGCCGGAGTCAATTGTAGTTGAAATCCTTCGCTCGACATCTTGCTATTCTGCTCAAGAGTACTTTGCATAAGAGGAAGAACCTGAGCCTCGGTGAGGATATTATTTGCAGCGACATTGACCATGCCATTAACCCTGTATTTCCACGAATCAATCAGTGCAAGCATACGCCCTGGTGCGACTTACATGTACACGAGAAGTGGTAAGCCATCAACTAGACCAAGACTCGGGATGCCAATAGGGGTGTTGGTGGCTCTTTGAACGGTCTCTAACAGCGTCGACGTAGGCTCGAAGAAAATAAGGACCGTCTTGGCATCTAGCATCAGGGTAATTTCGTTTTCGGCGAGGGTATACTCTTCGCCCTTGAGAGCAAGCGCCGCGAGACTAGGCGCCTTCGTCGCAGGCTGCCGTTGTGTTTAGCCTAACAATGTGAATACCACTCTGCCTGCAACGACTCGCCTTGGGGACTGAATCACACTGCTCGACGTCGAAGTTCTCATGTTGCAAAGCCTTCACGAAGGCGTTAGAATAGGAACCCACTAGGGCGATTTGGCGTTTGGCATTGTGCGGCATCGTCGTTTACGCTGCGTTGATTATCTGAAGTTGGGTTGATGATGATGCGATACTTGGAGCTACTAGTTTATATAGTGCCCTCGCATTCGCAGTCAACAAATCTCTACATTTCATCCACGTTCGCTTGGAGCCTCAAGGAGCCATAGTCTGGCCCTGTAAGATAGTTCAGCAGAAGCTTGGGCATGGTCGCGGAGTAATCACTGCCATATCCATCCTGCTTAGGTCGTCCTGCTGGAAATTAAAGATTTAAACATTTAGGTTTCGTACCGTGACAGAACCAGAAAGCTGTGAGAAGTGGAGAAGCTTGGCTCGGGTTCTGGGTCATCATGGGGTCAGTTGAGTGTAGCTAAAGATACCAACTCAGCGTCATTGTCGAAGACTTGCTCATAGTAAGCCTCATACGTTCGCGGAGCGTCTCGGAGTCGGTCTTCCAGAACGCGGTTCTAACTTTCATGAAGTTAGAGCCAAAGGAAATCGATAAAAATTGCGCAGCACATATGAGCACGATACTGAAAGTTCGGTTAGATGGAGCCGTCAAGCTCAGGTTGGCAAGCTTTCACGCCGAAGTCGAGATGTGGCAGATGGGGTATTTGTACATATTTATCGTGGTTCGAAATGCGGAGTTCAAACGTTCGCTAGGTTCGCCAAAAGTTCAACCAACTGAAGGACACCACCAGTGTCTGCCAAAGACATACCAAGGAGTTAATCATCAGTCGTATTCATAGAACGCGGTACGAATTTAATGTTTCGAGCATAAGATACATCAACATCCGGATTCTGGGAGGGTCATATCGGCCCATTCAGCACCGTTTCACGGATTCTAGCATTTCCATGCATTCCACCCCTCTCCTTGCGCTAGCTTCGAGATAAAGATGTCAGGCAAGTTCCTTGAACTATGCACTCAGTTACGGAGACTAACCCCGTGCTCCGTTGGCACCGAACTTCCGAAAATAGAGCAAGTATCATCTTCTGGAACGCGAACCCAGGCGTTCCACTCCCAACTTTTGTGCCCAGCGGAAATGCACAATGTCCTGACATCCCAATGAAATAATCTTTGGGAAGGCTTCTCGTTGGCCGACGTCCTCCGATGAGGGAATTTGGCTCTTGGCTAGGGAGGCTCCAGCAACCTTGGGACCGGACCAAGCATTCGAAAAGCCTGTCTCATGAAGAGACTTCATCGATAGTGCTCGCGGAGACTTGCTCCAACTTACATCGGTGAGCTGCCATTCGTTGGAGTTCGCAGGGTCTTCAATGTCTTCACAGACTTGCGTGACAACTCCACTGTGACTCAAGGCTTTAACTTTTCCTTCGTCGAACTTAAGCTTAATGGCGATCTTTTATAGAGGGTGCGAGAGTATCTCAATATTTGAGCCAGATATCTGAGTACGGGTCCTCAGTCAACCCAACTTGCGATTCCTCGACAATGACCACCAAATTTCACGTCTCCCTCATCGGCGCCCACTCGAACGGCTTCGTAAAGGCCCTACAAGCGAACAATTTTGACATCGAGCAATGTAACTCTGTTTCCGATGTAAGCTCTCTATCTCTGTCCATCGATTACAGGACTAATGGTGGTATTCCAAACGAAGCGCAAGAAAAGCGCGGCGAATCTTTCGGTGCTTGCTCTTACGGGTGAGGAGCATATGCTTTCCGGCAGCGATATCAACAAGGCACTATACGCTGGGACGGTTCTTTCTCTGTTTCGGCCAAGCCGCGCCCTCTTGGAGGCCGTTCACAAAACCACCAATACGCCCATTGATATCCCAAGCCTAGAGCTCTCCGATGAATTACCGCTCCTAGTATACATGTCAGTGCTGCATCATTTATGTCTTTACTTCTCACTCATTCGCCGTGCAACAGGGTCAATGGCGTGGTGCACGTCACTCCAAACAATGTTCCCAGTGAGGCCAAGGTCCAGGAGCTCGTGCGAAGCGCTCTTGAGAAAGATGGAAAAGCTCCCCCAGAAAAGGCCTTTTCGGTCTCCACAATGTCGCTCGATCCCCACGAACAAGCCGTGATGTCCATATCTCGCGCTGTTTCCGCCACAAGGACTCCTCGATGTCCGCCAGTCTCCGATCTCGAACCGCCCTCCGACGTGATTGGTTTCAAGATGCAAGTTTAGTTCGTTGCTCGTGTTGAATTGCTCTAACTACGATATTACAGGGGCACACTTGATAACACGGCTCACATCGTAATCACTTGGTTGGCGTGGAGCGCGGACGGAATCTACAACTTCTACACTAAAGATCCCCAATACATACAGAAGTACGACTTGTGCTGGTACACCGACTTCTACGTATACGCAACAGGTGCCGATTGTAGGGGTAAGACAAGCTCCGAGTTCACTGAGGCTGGCGGCGTTGTGTACACCCTTGTTATCGACCGTGGTAACGTACGACGTTCGTCGGACAGCGCCCCGCGGTTCCTGGGGCCTACGAGTGGCTATTGTAGCTACTACTTCATTGATTGGAACCAGACAGGGAACTTTTCTCCCGGCTTCACGATGGACTTGGTGTCATATCAGCCTCGCGTCCCTGCTTCCCAGAACGGGACAACATATAACTGTCAGTACTGAATCCAGGCATACAGATGCAACGCTAAAAGTTCCACAGATTCCATCGACTTCAATCAAGACATGCAGATGCTCGATGGCAATGGCGATTCGAAGTACACGTTCAAGGCACAGTACTCGAACGATTTCGCTTTGGACAAATTCCAGCTACATACCAAAGAGCTTGACTCGGGAGTCAACTTTTCTGTTGATTACAAGGATGGCTACGTGAGCACCCGGTTCGAACGTACCTTTGGAATGTTCTGGCTTACAATCGGCAGGACCACTGGGTTGATCCTCAATTATCTAGCGATACTTGGTATTACCCTGGCATCACCCAGTGGGTTAACAGAGGAGGATCTGAGTATTTCATCATCCGGGTGCGTTTATTCACTTGTGATGCCACTGCTGATATAACCAATTGACTGTGTATAAAGGAAGACATGCCAGCAGACGATTTGCCCATCAACGGCTTGACCGTCCTCTCATCGAGTGTTGGCAAGCATCAGTTCTGTATGTAACCTTCCGCTTTTCAAAACGAAAGACTCAAAGGCGTGTGCATTTCGTAGCATCTACGTACCGCACAGCATGCAGAGCCTTCAAGGCTAATTCCTGGCGAACCACTAGTGATGCCCACAACGTGAGTTCTGCTCCGCAAACTTTTATCCCATTGGATCGCCGTCTCATCTCAAGCAGGTTGACTTCCAAACCATCCCAATCACGTACGGGAATGGAAACGGGTGGCTGCGTACCTTGGATTTGACGTGGCCGTAAAGGCGCGATCTCCGCGGTTCGAAGGCTCTGTATGTTGCTCCAACTGTTGCGCTGTATCGTAACTTGCCATATAAATGTGATAGATACCACCCTTGACGGCCCCGTTAATCGATGGATTTATGAAGGTGAGATCCAGAGCTCGCTGGTGCTGGGGGGGCAGTAATATGTCACACCGGTATCCTGGGCACATCATTCGCCGAACATCAGAGTCTGGTCACAAACCATTCTAGCAGAATGTCAATGGACAACTTGCGTCAAGCATTAATGGGGTAGTGGTAACCTGGGTCGTTGCCAATCAAATGATTCGACCCGCCGCGAGTTCGATTCTCGCTTAATGCATCATACTGCACAAGTATGTCTGTCGTCTGCATTATTTTTCCCATCTATTCCGCCGCTTTAAAGAACCATCATTATTCAAGTTTCGTCGATGGCTGTTCCCATGATTCACGTCCAATATTAGTATCCAAGCACACTATCAGTTCATGGCTTCGAAACCTCAAGTCTCGAAATCTGTTAAGGTTCCTTGATACATATTTGATTCGATCTGTTGGCTTATCGTCAGTGAACAATAATCGTTGTGCAGGTATTCTAGTAATGGCAAGGCCGATTCATTCCGTTTCCCGAGACGGACCAAGTCTTGTCACCTTGTCGACATCCTGCTCAACTCGACCTTGTGCATTTCGTGATAACTACATCGCCTGTTGCCATATTTACCAACTTTCTCATTTGTACAGCGTCCGAAACAAGCTGTCGAAGTGGAGCTGCTCTGATCAGTGATTATTTTACACAAGACTGCCCCTTCCTTTGGATTCTTTGAGGAGCATCGAGCCTCCAATATTGATACCTATCATTCCAAGTAGAGAGACAGAGGCCTACGGCGCGAAAGAGGCTTGTGTTTTCATTTTCTAGGAACAAAACATTTCTCTAGGCAAACAGGGTCGCTAGGAATGATCGTGTGGCGGTAATCAACCGAGCATGTGACGAGTTTTCTCCTCCCACACATATTGGGCCGCTGTCATTTTCAACCCGATAGCAGGTCTTCAGCGTGTTCTCTTCTTTCTCATCAACCACCACCTTCTCCCCGTGTTGGTGAGGACCGCGTCCCCTCGTGCGGTCGGATGCTTGTATAGGCCCAGTACCACTCACTCTCGTTTATCTTCGTTCCCTAAACTCTCGCTCTTTTTCCGTTTGTAAAATATCCAAAAAACACAACCGTAATGGCGAAATCAAGTCACATTGCCAGACAGAGGCATTCGATGCGCGAGGCGCGCAAGTTGCAGGAGATAGTGGCTAGGCAGAGGACTGGCCTGATTCCAGGCGATGGTGTTGTCCCCGGCGATGATGCTCCTGTGCGACCAGTGACTACTACCACGTCTAGGCCAGTCGCATCAACAACGACTACACTTGTCCGGGTGGTCACAACCGCGAGCACTACTACTCCCGTCGTACGGGTCACAGTTCGCCCAACGACTTCGCCCACAGTCGTTGTGTCGCCCGCCAGCACGAGCTCTCCGGTCCCAGTAAGATCAACGACTCCTGCAAGGGTCCTGCCGTCTTCTTCGTCGCTGGTGTGTGCCAGTTTTCTACTTAATTGAAAATGTTTTTATTGAATCGCGAATAGGCGCCTGCTTCTCCAGTTGTTACATCTTCCAAGCCCAAAGCCCGAGCAACAAATACTAGTTCAAGCGCGAGCATCTCTGCTTCTGCATCAGCTTTGCCTAGCGAGTCCGGATCCACCAACAGTACGGGAGCTCTTGCTGGTGGTGTGATTGGCGGCATCGCATTACTGGCTCTTCTCTCGTTCGGCATAGTTTACTATATGGTAGGTGTCTCAATGTTGGAGTCACGCTTAGAATTCGGTTAAGCAAAAAAAAAGAACAACAGCTGATGTCTTATTCATGTGTTCATAGCGTCGATTCCAGAAAAGAAAGCAGAACATCGCTTTCGAAGCTTCTGCGTTTAGGCGCTCTGCTATCCTTCTCGACGACTCGAAGTCCGAGACCAAGGCGAACGGCGCGTCTTCCCCAATGCAAGAGAAACATCTCTCACCCACCGAGCACCCTTTTGCGCCGCAATTCCAATTCCCCACGAAATCCACCAATCCGAGTGTGTACAGTGGCACTGGCTACGATCAGCAAGGCTATCCCGGTGGTCAAGGAAATCATGTCAGGCTTGACACTGCGCTCCCACCACCACCTGTTGCAACATCGGCTTCACCGTGGGGTACAGCTGCTCTTGTCTCAGCAGCAGCATATGGAAACTCAGCCTATGGAATGAACTCCGCTCCTTCGCCATATTCGCCATACTCGCAGAAACGCACCCAGCCGGATCACCAACCTCCCCCCTCCCCTATGTCCGCGATTTCATATCTCCCCAACCCATACGCGGACAACGAACGGGATAACACGCACACCGCCCAGTCTTTGTCTCGCCAGCCTTCCCCGCCCTCGACTGTCATGGTGCGTGAACGTGAACGCGAAAGTCAGCCCCCTCCCTCCCCCGTTTATGGGATGCACGGCCAATATGTAGACTTGACACGCGGCTCCCCGCTTCCTCCTCCCACCATTAGCAAACCTCCAACAATCCGTCGCAAATTCTTTGTCCAAAACCCCACTCCCGAACCCGAGGAAACCCCTTCCCCCTCTTCCCCCTCTCCGCCATCATCACAGCCCTGGAATAACGCACAGCAGGCCGTCGGGACGGACAGGAAACGTCCCGACACTGTGTATTCCACAATTTACAACCCTGAAGATGCGTATGGCGGATTTTGATCTTGATCACGATTTTGTTTATCGTCAGTCCAGGAATGTGTAATTTTTCACTCTTCAACCGCCTCGTCTTGAATGCGTAGGTGGCAAGCTGGCCCAAGTTTATGTTGTACTTCTTACGCGCCACTTTCTATGTCCCCGCGCCTTTTCACGGGCGCATAGCGAGGCTATCTTTATTGTTATTATCCTTTTTTGCTTCTTCCCAATACGCGACTACTACCCCGTTTCAGTACATAACTTGGTTTTCCCTGTTCGCTACGCTGCATATACCTTTTCATACACCGCGGCTTGTGGGTATGTCGATCATATAATACCCTATTTTGTCAAGAGGGCTGGTTGAATTTTGTCTTTTGGCTTTTGCCTTTACGTAGAATCGGGAAAGTTAACCCTTGTCAAGATGTGATTATATACCAACTATACATTTACAATGAACCTGAACAAACGTAAAGCTACCTGCTTCTGGATATACAGTGAGTGGGCGGCCCAAAGCTGCGTGGCTAGGAAATCGAGGGGACACAAAGCCTTGTGACCCGAGATGGATGATAGTTTATTTACGGACGCTGCACCTTCGGTGCCGTATTTCCGAAGATACCATCCAACTATGTTTAGAGGGGATGGTCAAAACAACCCTAGTGTTGATGTTCAGCGTTTGGAAAGGTGGGAGAAAGATATGAAACGTACTCTGAGGCTTGGCGAAGCCGCCGCCCAGAGTCGCCTTTTTGCCTTGAAGAGGCGAGGGATAAATTTAGTTCTTGAAAGTGAAGATCGAAGGTCCCCAACCTACCTTATGCCGCATGATGGCATACTTCTTTTCTGTGACATGAGATTCAGCACATGGGACAGCGCCACGTTATCTGGACAGACTCACCGATTGAACAATGTGGAACCTGCGCAGAAGCTTGAGCTCCTGCCGCAACTCTACGTCGTCCGATTCGACGTCGATCTGCTCCATATTTTCAGAGTCGCTAACAGCTTGGCTTTGCTGGCTGGATACACGTATTATTGTACCGCAGCTACAGCTATCGTATCAAGAGGCAAGAAGCAAGACATAAGCATGATAACATCGCGATTGTTGAGATATGCTATTCTTGTTACTCACCGCCGTGTTTGCCGTGTTTGAGCGCCAATATCATCCCCGGAGGGGTCGCACAGTTGCTGACAGCTAGGACACATCCATTCGGAACGGTTGGTGCTCAATATTATGTTCACGCAGATGGTAACCTCAGGTTTGACGAGGTCGTGCCAAGTGGCCGAGCTGACGATGGAATGGCTTTCCTCGTGCACCAGCTCAAACGCACCCCGAGCGATGAGCGTACCGCCCACCCCGCGCCGTAAACAGGTTTTCAAAGCGAGGCGAAATGACTAGAGGCGAAAATATTGAGCCGAATGAAAGGAACCACCGAATGAACGAGTGAATCACCTTCCAGTCAGGGAAAGCTTCGAATGGGAAACGCATACGATGTAGAGAAGCGTCTACCAACCACACACTTGGCCCACTGCGGAGGTGCTTGTAAATATCATCCACTTGCATAGATTTGCGGATCATGACTTCAATTCGACCTGCTGATGCCCTGAAATGGGATATTGCGGGGCGGTTGTGAGTGGAGTACATAAGCTGTCATTAATCTCCAGGAGCTTACAGTTGAACTGACAAGAGCAGCATGCTCAGGGACCCCCTTTGGTGAGACAGCTCAGCCTTCAGCTTTGCGATTTGCTTTCTTTTGAGAGCCGCCCAGCATAATCGCTTCCAAGTAGAAATGAAACGGTTCCCCGTGGAGGATTCAGAAAGGTATTTGTCGTATCCCTCTATTTTCTTGGTGAATGTCGTTAGGAGGTCCAGGCAGCGCTGGCTGACATCTTGGACGTCCGAAGAAAGTACTGGAGCGGTTTGGCAAACGCTATCGACGTCGGAAGAGTCCAAGGATCCTTGCGAGACGATGCCGGGACGGTCTTCGACGTCACTGGCGCTGGCCAAAGCAACACGTCTGACATTGGAGAAAGTCATCTGTAGCGAAGCGAGGTCCCTCTGCAACTCTTGGTATTCTGCAGGTGCATATCGGCTGTCGCGTATAATTCTCGTGGCTTTGGTGGCAAGTGAAATTATGGCGATAACGTCGCCCACATTGACAAAAGAGGCCATGCTGTCTGAGGCTGGTGGAGGGATAAAAGAGGATGGGAGGTATTTATCTATGGGGGGTCTTGGTAGCCTGAGCCACAACACTGGTCCACCACTCCAGTGATAGGCGCAGAGCCCCGCGATCGAAGTAGCGGTATAGCCAGTTAATGGGGAGGGCACCCATAAGAGACTTGGCCAGGTATGTTACTACATTTGCCACGAAAGGACCCGACGATGGCGGACGTTGGGCTTGCGCAGCGTATGCCATCACTACATAAAATAACATACCCGTCAGCCGCTAAGGACCTGTTAATGGATCACAGACTTTCACCTATACATATACAGCCGCGAGTACCTTTAGCGCGCAGTAGATGAGTATCGCTGCCATGATATCTGCCCTCTGGTTCACTCCAAGAACATACCATAGAAGTAGAAGATGGGATACGCTCACCTCC